CCTGTCTTAGCGGGACCATATGTAAGCAATCTTGTGAGGCTAGTGTGTGTTAGACACAGAGGCTGCCTGTGCTGCTCTGCTTTGGAGGTGCTCCCTGTGCGAGCTGCCAGAGGACAGGGTCCTGTGTCCGCCTCTTTCTAGGAGGGAAAGGGCAGCTCTCAGCATTGATGGGAATTACCAAGCCCACCGTCCAATGTTCTCATCGAGGTGCCTCTCCACTCAAAATGCATGACGGCTCTTAATGTCCATCATCATCGCTGGTACTGGGCCTTTCTCCTTTTTATTTCTTCTTTTTGTTTTTCCATCCTGGGTCATCCAGGAGGACATTCGTCATGACCTTCCCTAGAGGACGTGGTGGGCAGAGCGAAATGGGACCCAACAAGGAAGCTTCCAGCCCAGCCTCTCCTGCCTTGTCACATGTTGACGTGCCAGTTTCACGGAAGATCTGATTGGGAAGAAGAACAAAGAGAATCTTTCAGTCTCAAAGTAAAAGCATCATTCCAAGGCAAATCTTATTCCCAAACCCCAGGAAGGCAACATGGCCCACGGCAGGTGAAGGAGAGCAAGATGAAACCCTGCCCACCAGCCTCTGGGGGCAGCACCCCTGGGTCCTCATCAAACCCCAAGAATGGAGGACTCTCAAATCCAAGAGTGACAGGGTCTCAGGAAAGGAGGGAGGGAGGAAGGGTGGGTCAGAATAGGACTCCCTGTGGCCAGCATTCTTGAATCCTTTCCCATCTGGGGTGGCCCCAAGGATGACAAGTCAGACATGCAGCCCAGGGTCCCAGCTGCACCCTTATATCCAGACTCCATGCAAATGGGGCTCTCCTCCTGCTCATAAAAGAGGGCCCTGCCCGGCATGCTAGGGAGACACCCAGACCCAGGTGCCTGAGACAGGACCCCAGCGGCTCCACCATGGACTTGGTGCCAAGCTGCGTTTTCCTCCTGATCATTCTTCAAGGTCGTTCTCAGGAGAGGGGAGCGCTGAGACCTGTGCCTGTGCCTGTTTTTGCTTCCATGTGATTCTCAGTCCACCTTGTGTCTCTGTGTTTGCAGGTGTCCAGTGTGAGGTGCAGCTGGTGGAGTCTGGGGGAGGCTTGGTGCAGCCTGGGGGGTCTCTGATACTCTCCTGTGCAGCCTCTGGATTCACCTTCAGTAGCTACTGGATGTACTGGGTCCGCCAGGCTCCAGGGAACGGGCTGGAGTGGTTATGTCGAATGAATCCTGATGGAAGTACCACAAACTATGCCAATGCTGTGAAGGGCCGATTCACCATCTCCAGGGACAATGCCAAGAACACGCTGTATCTGCAAATGAACAGTCTGAGCACCCAGGACACGGCCCTGTATTACTGTACAACAGACACAGTGATGGAAAGTCATTGTGAGCCCATACACAAACCTCCCTGAGGGAGGCAACAGGGCTGGGCTGCAGGGGGCGTCCAGGACACCAGGGGGCGCTCAAGACCAGCACAGCCCCCAGACCAGGAGCAGGAGAGTTAAGCAAAGACACAATTTCCTGCTCTGCCTTAAATTAACTTTGTTCCCAGGCTCAGCCACAGAGCTCACAGAAAGCCCTTTCCTATGTCTAGGTTTAGGGATTGTATTTGTGAATAAAAAAGGAGGCTCTGTCGTAAATCTGACAAAATTCAGTGACTGAAGGGAGACTCTGATCTCAAATTCCTATCTGGTTGAGGATTAACAAAGCAAATTAAATAAATAAAGGAACCTCATTTTAATAAATCAGGACAGGAAGGAAATGGTAGGAGAAAACCCCTTCTTAGTACTGTTAACGTAAAAAACACATTCAAATCTGTAAAGAATTTTTGTGAGCTTATTTCAGCCAAACTGTTGACAAATGCTAAGATGCAGAATCTCAACTGACTGAGATAATGCTCCCGGGAATGGCGGGTTTTCCTCTATTTTTATACATTGCAATCCAAGGAGGGGCATAGGTGGGTTACTTGAAATCCACTGGTGATAGACTAGAGAGGCAGGTGAAAGCAAATCCAGGAAACCTCTGGGATTGGATAAAAAGTAAAATGAGAGACACAGGCTTAGGTGGGTGCAGGATCAATTAACATGATAATGAAGGAATTTGTGGTATCTGTCCTGGTGCCCAGGCACATTAGGTTGTGCCTCAAGGAGTTTGGAAAAGGGGAAGATACAAGTTACCCAGACATTGCAAGGGTATGTCATTATAGATGCAAAAAGGCAGATAGGCTCAGTTAAGGTCAAGGTTGACCTTGTCAGTGAAGATACCAGCCTAGGACGTAACTACCCACCATAACGGCTTTTAGTTCAAGTTTATTTTCAGACCATCCTTTGTGGTGACTTTAGGTCTCTTAGCTTGCAGGACCGCCACGCAGGCCTTCCCTGAGCTGTCAGATTAGCATGTGGCCCCTTTTGTCCACAGTTCCAAGTCCAGAGAGGACCATGTGCATGTTCCACTAGGAATGACGACGGAGCTCAGATACATTTTAGTTCTTGAAAAAAGAATTCACAGCAGCTTCACATGGTGGGTGTCACCATGGTGTGAAGCCTTTTGCTGAAAAAGCACATTGGTTTCTTGTGGGTCTACACCTGTGTCAGGACTCCTGATCATGTGTTATTGACACAGAATTCTTGACTGGAACCCGGATTCTTTGTCTGCCAAACTCAAAGAATGAATTCACAAACAGAAGGTGGTATAGCAAAGGTGAGATTTATTGAAGAACAAATACAGACTCCCACGTGGGGAGCGGGGAAAGGTCCCACAGACTTCCTGTTTCCATGGGTTATAAAGACTGCAGTTCCATGTCCTTATATCCCCTCTGACTGGTCAATATTCCCTTCAAATTGGTTACTATAGTAACTCCTGAGGCCCTCCTCCCTCATTGCCCTCCTATTTCTTCTGGGCTTTCTTCCTTCTTCATTTTGTAAATATAGAACTTTTTTGGCCACTTCTAGTTCCCTTGTCTTATGGAAAGATCCCTTCTCCCAGTCTGTAGCCCTGTGTTTTTTCCATAAACCACAATTCTAAAAATTCCCTAAAACTGCCTATATTCCCCTAAAATTCATTTCATGATCACTTTCTGTGGGCAGAGCCTGGGTTTTAGGTTGATCCTTAGGTGTTTCTCTGTGTTTATGCCTTGTTGTTTTTCTTTCCAAATGCATTTTCCCACTGGTTGGTGCTTATACTCCAATTCCTGTGGGGGTGTATCTTTCCAAAGGATTTTCCATGTGAATAATGAAGTTATCTCTGAATAGAAAAGCGAGCCTCCTTCTTGCAGCCTTATGGTGCCCAGGGCGGGAATGGGCGGGGTGCAAGCCCCATGTGCCTCCAGGAGAAGCCAGAGGCACCTGGGCGGACCCTGCAGGTGACATCCCACCCCCTCCCCAACCCACTCACCACCCACCCAGTCCTCCAGGATGCCTCCAGTTCCCAAAGCTGCCTTAAACCCTGGTGGACCCCTGGGGCCGGTCTTCAGGCCACACTCCCTGGGACCAGGTGGGCCTTGCTCTCTCCCTTACTAACAGCAGTGCCCCTGCTCCCAGCAAGGTCAGCCCTTCAGGCCCAGCATCCAGGCCCCAGGGTCTTCCCTTCCTGGCAGGGAGCCTGCCCCCACACCCCCACAACCCACACACGCAGCCAGAGGTTCAGATGGGGCCGAAAAGAAAAACCTGCCCTTGGGACAGTCTCTCCTCCTTCTGGGCCAGAGTCACACCTTGAAGCTGTGAGAAATGTTCAGTAACCCTTTCCAATAAAAGTTGACTTTGCTGGGGGTGGATCTCAGAGGTCTATTTTCTACACTGCAAAACTGTCCCTAAGCAGAACTTCACTTCTGTGACTCCTGTCAGGAGCCATCATTCTTTTATTTACTTTTTAAAATATTTTTTGTTGTTGTTAATCCTCACTGAGTGTATTTTCCCATTGATTTTTAGAGAGAGTGCAAGGCAGAGGGAGAGACAGACAGAAACATCAATGTGGGAGAGAGACATTGATCGGTTGCCTCCTGCACACACCCCAACCAGACCTGGGGAACCTGCAACAAAGGTGCGTGCCCTTGATCAGAATCAAACCCGGGACCTTTCATTCTCCAGGTCGATACTCTATCCACGGAGCCTCACAGCCAAGGCAGGAGCCATCACTCTTTGTTGACTAACCACTGGGGTCACTTTAGAAGGAAGAGCTTCTATCCACCCACCTGGGCCATTTGGTGTCTCAGCTGCTCCTGCCCCTGCCTGCTCCCTGCAGAGATGCCCCCTAGTCCCCATCTCCCTGTGCTCAGGGTGAGGCACCTCATCAGGAGGCAAAATGCAAGCCTAGGCCTATGTCCTTCCCCTGTGGGTCCCCTGAACTGAAGACTCTCACCTATGCCCTCTGCTTCCAGGTTCCCCAGCTGACCAGCTCTGGGGGCACATGTGTGTCTGATACACAAGCACCTGGCCTATGACCCCATAACACGGGGACGGGGCTTCTGTCTTCTTAAATGATTTGTCCTTGTTACTTAGAGGGATGCTGTTGTGTCATAGGCCCTCAGTGTTGGTGGAATAAATGAATGAATGAAAGAAATCCAATCAAGTGATGTGGGTAAACAGGCTCTGAAATTGGTGTAAGATCCACATCGCCCACTCCCAAAGGCCCACCTCTGAGCACCCTATTCTGTGGCCCCTGCCTTGGGTCCCACTTGCCCAAGGACCGTGCTCTGGGGAAATCGGGCTGCATAACTGGGGTCTGTGCCTCAGCAGGCTGTGCAGACCCGGAGCCTTATATCAGTGAGCGATGCTCAGGCAAATGCCAGGTGTGGCTTCCTGTGTAAATACAAGCTCCACTGAGGCCACAGAGCCTGCTGAGTCTGGCTGACCCAGGGACATGGCTGTCTCCCTCCTCCTCTTACTTCCCATCCTGGGGCTCCCCTGGGGTCAGTGTCTGGGGACCTGGCAGATCACAGAGGTTTTCACAGAGATGTGGACTTATTAACCTTGTTGCTTCCTTTTGTCCCAAGTGTCCTGTTCCAGGTGCAGCTGCAGGAGTCGGGCTCCACGGTGGTGCAGCCCTCCCAGACCTTGTCCCTCACCTGTGCCATCTCTGGGGACAGTGTCTCCAGGAACAGTGTTGCTTGGCACTGGATCAGGCAGCCCCCAGGGAAAGGGCTCCAATGGCTGGGAAGGACCTACTTCAGGTCCAAGTGGTGTCATAGAAGACTGGAGAAAAACCAAGCAATGCTTAGAGAAATAAAGTTACACAGCTTTATTATGCTGCCAGACTCAGAGGAGATGTATCTCAAATTCTGAGCAAAGCAAACTGGTGGAAGCTGTTCCTTTATATCTTTTTGGCTTCTTTGTCCCCCATAAGGATGGGACTCCCAGACCTTCCGGAGGCTTTGAAAAAAGCCCCGTGTGTGAGGATAGGGGTCGTGGTACCATACCTAAGGGCCTGATCTTGTGCCAGCACTGGAAGAAATGGGATGCTAACCCCTTGGTCATCTCTTATCAGCAGGAAGCAGCTATGAGTGGTCGTCGTTCCTGTTCATCATAACATCGGTAGTCATAGTCGTAACCATTGTACCACAAGGCTAAGAAAAGCTTGTGGGACAATGGAGGGAATGAGAGGCTAAAGGTTAATTCTTTCTATAACATCTGGTTCCCTCTAAGGCAGGGGTGGGCAAACTTTTTGACTCGAGGGCCACAATGGGTTCTTAAACTGGACCGGAGGGCCGGGACAAAAGCATGGATGGAGTGTTTGTGTGAACTAATATAAATTCAAAGTAAACATCATTAAAAAAAAGGGT